AATATTAATTGATTTCTGCTTCTAATTTTATATTTCCTTTTGACTATTTAAAAAATGGTCCTCAGTGGTTTGCTTTTGTCTTTATGTTCTCTGCTCCTTAATTCACCAGTTTTCTCACTCTCCTTTACAATAGAAGCATCTGTTGACAGCGGTCCCAAAGTCTATGTCAGCTTTGGCTGAACACTTTGTAAGTTCACATTTTTCACTTCCACTGTGTCCTAAATTTTAAATTTTTCTTTGTTTTTACTTTAAAATATATTTTCAATGGCTACAAGATTTGGTATTTTAGGCTATCTTTTTACAATTTATAGATTTATAATTAAATTGTTCATGGTTGAAAAGGCTGATCCAGAAATGCCAATTCTCTGTTATTCTGATAAAATCTCTCGTACTATCAATGTTTTGAAAATACAGAGAAAATGAAGTATCTTCAATTGTTTTTATCACTTGATTGAACCTGTTAATTTTGGTATGCAAATCATCTTTATTGTTACGAATCTATTTATAGGTGTATATATAAATGATAATTATTTCCAATTTTATAAATGCTAGGATTACTTCATTACATACAACTTTAGAATTATATTTGACAGATATCTTCTTTCTTTCACTTTCTAGAATCTTCTGTATCTATCAAAGCCTCTTGCCTGTCTGATAAAGATATATACACATAAATATACATATAAATATATGTACATATACATAAATATACATACACACATATATATATATTTATATGCTGTCCTAGCTTGTTTTTTTGTTGTTGTTGCTGTGATAAAACATTGCAAGTTGGAGGAGGAAAGGGTTTATTTCAACTTACACGTTACAGTCCATCATCAAAAGAAGCTAGGGCAGGAACCTGGAGATAGGAACTGAAGCAGAGTCTATGGAGGAATGATGCTTATTGGCTTGCCCCCACAATCCCAGGCTTGCTCAGCTATCATTCTTATATAGCCCAGGCTCACCTGCCCAGAAATGGCATCACCCACAATGGGCTGGGCCC